TGTGGATGAAATTCATTCTGCTACAGCAAAAATGACCTCAGTGCCAGACTTTTGTCATCCTGATGTCCTTGTAACATGGTAACAGTCTGCGCCTAAACCAGAGAAACTAAGCAGGGGAAGCAATGGCTGCAAATTAAATGGTCAGAGCTATGGAAAACCCAAGTCAATTGCTTGGTTCCTCTGAGCTCGCTGGCATATTCCATCTTGGGTTTTTGCATTCCTTCATCCAGCATACTGCATTTAAACTGGGTTTCATTCAACTGCCACACAGTATGGGTTATCAGTATGTTACTGTTGTTGTATGTATGTTTTCCACATGTTTTGAAGCCTTACTCTGCTGCGAGGCTGATGCCCTCCCAGTGGCAAAGAAACTATTAGAAAATGTGTTTCCCACTTGGGATATACCTTCCACAATTTCTAGTGTTCGAGGCACCCACTTCATAGAGAAAATCATACAAGCCTTGATGGAAAGTCTTGCAAACTTCCTGGAATTATCACTGACCCTATCACCCTTAATCATCAGGCAAGGTCACGAGAACTAATGGAAAAATTGGATTCATAAAACTGTTAACGAAAAGATTAATATAACAAGAATTAATAACATGGGACTGATTAAACTAATAAGAATGATTATGATTTTTTTGTTTGAAATATAACTGGTTCTTTAATCTTGTTTTCCAGATACAAGGAAACCTTTTCTCTTAAGCTACCTATGACTTAGAGCAATTTGGTAAACTACACTTTATGAGCAGAAATGAAACATTTATCATTTTCTCCCCAATTAATACTTCCAGAATTCAGAAATTCTCAGTGAGTCCTTCTATCTTTACGGCAATATTGTTGTTTGTGTAAGTTCAATAAGAACCTGTTGTCCTTGAAGAGGACATAATTGGGAACTAGTTATATTACTAAGGCTTTGACTGAAATGTCATATTTGAAAACAACATGCATAGATTCAGACATAACCAGACAGCTTTAAGGAATTAAAACAGTCTTGTGGAAGCCAATAAAACCCTTGGAAATATCAACCTGGTACCTTGCTTACAAGATTCCCAGAAGCCTTACCAGGTGAATAAAGTAGGTCAGTTCCTGGCAGGTATAGGAATCTTAAGATATTTTGGGAACACTGAGAAGAAAGGAACTCACCCAACTTATAGATTTTGCAGGCAGAGAGTGAGGGCGAATCTTTGCCCGGGATTCTTTGGCCTCAAGAGGCATTTTAAAATTCAATCTGAAGATTCCTTATGGAATTTCCAGTAAAGCAGATTTAATAGAACTTCTAAGGTTAATTATTATTTATGCTGCTCCTATGTAAATAGAAGCCTAAGTTTATTGAAACTAGACCTATTTTGTTGAAACTAGACCGGCATCATTGACTCCTGAGATGACAGACAACTGTTTAATTGAACTGACCTATTCTCAAGACTGAGCTGGTTTCTAAAACTGATATATAATAATAATGTCTCATTTGATCCTTTCTCCATGTTTTAGTCTAAAAATTAACACAAATATTGAGCTGACTACAAATTCATATATAGCAAGCATGTCCCTAATCCATTATCTCCCCTCCAAGGGACATGATAAACCCAAGAAAGCCATTGCCATCTTGGCATCAAGTGACTTTAAAATGTTTTGTTTGGTCTGTGATGTTTCCTGAGGAAAAAAATCCTTATCAAAAAGGGGGAAATGAAGAATAGAGTTAAAAAATAACAGGGAGTACTACAGTCAAACTGCTAAATTACTAAAGTCAGTAGGTTGAGGTATGAGGAAACAACTCTATTCTTGTTCTAACCAGCCTGGGAACTTAAACATTTTTGAACTTTCCAGTCCTGCATCAATGCCTGGACATCTATCAAACCTCCAGATAATCCTCTGATTATCCCCTGAAGGACTAAGGAAAGAATGTTCATGTATCCAGACCACTTGATGCCCACCATCTGGATCATGGGTCAAATCAAGGATTACCATTTTGTACCAATACAGAGGTTAAGATTGCAGGACTGATTCTTCTCAAGAATGTACTTTTTCATACAAGAACCTTCAGCTTCTCTTTCTTCTTTGGAAAACTCTGGTTATTGTTTAGTTGTGGTTCCAGTTTGCAAACCCTAAGACCTCCGAATAAATATCAATTATTTCTACCAAAGCCTCCAGACTCTTTTTGAGTTGGTTTGACAAGTGTGCTCCAGGATTTATTTTCAAATCACTTATTCTCTAAGTCCCACTCACTTGATAATATCCAGGCTAGCTAGGGAAACAAGGAAGGCCGGGTGAGGAATAGAAGAGAAAGAAAGGGTCCAAGAGCTGAAAAAAATTACCGTCAGAGTGGAGAACAAGGATGACAGGCCTGAGGGTATGAGAACCAGAAGAAAGGGTGGTTGCTGTGTATTGAGAATGAGTTACCTGATTGAAAATTTCAGGGGTGAAATATAAACACATGTGTAACAGTTCAATATAGGAAATGTCACAAAGCAGTACATAGTTAACCTGTCAATAAATGGCATTATAGACATGTTATAAAAACTTGGGGGGAGTTTGGTGGAAACATCTTTACACATACACACATACCTGTATCTGACCATACTCAATGAAGATATTCCTTCAAAACTTCCCTTTAGCAGTCTTTGTTAGGGGATCTAATTGGATAGGGGTGAACGCTCTTGGCCATTCTTTCTGGGGTATTTAGTTATTAAAGAACTTAAAGGGATTTTAAGTTCTATTTAAAAGGATTTTATCTATTAAGTAAAAAAGCATTATAAAAAGAGTAAGATAGAAAATAATTTCAAGTTAAAAAACTATTTGGGGAATTTCAATCTCTGCACAAAAATTCACTTCATCCTTCATTTTCTTCTTTCCTTTAAAATGTATTCACATAAAATCTGCTTTACAAGACAGAACCAGTTTGGAATATAGTCCAAGAAATTTACCACTAAACGGAGATACATATGTGTTTCAGTTTCTAGGAAAATTGGGCCTTGCTAACTTTCTTCCTGAATTTTTTGGTCCTTTGCATTGAAGAGTACGTGTAATTTCTCCCTTTGCTGAACTTTCTTGCTTTTACAGTTTCTCCTACCTGAATTTTAAGCACCTTGTCCACACCATTGCTATTCTAGGCTATATATTCTAGTCTATGTAGCATTAAGCGACCTTCAGCTATGACTAGTTTAATGGATCAACACATTTACCCAACCACATAACTTTGACCCCTTTGGGGATTTCCAGTCTATTTTAATCTATTTAAACCTAACACTGGTAGATTTCAATTTCCTTTGTTCCTTGTATAGACTTGGTTTATGCCTGTTGATCTCTAAAAGTGATAAAGAGGAGGTAGTTGTTGGGGAAAAAAAAAATGAGATTGGCAGTTTTAACCACACAGTTTGGTAGCTTTGATATGCTAAAATTGCTAGCTCCTCCCCATACCTTTCTGATTTTGCATCACAACACCACACTGAATCCCAAAGTAAACCAGGGTAGTTAAATTAAAAAATGTAAACCAGTGATACCGTTCTTTTAAATCATCAAAGATTCATTCTGCGAACTGCAGGCCTTCACAAATCTGCATACACTGGAGACCTTTAAAACTGGAGAAGCCCAGAATGCTGATTGTGTTCTAAAAAGCGAAAACAGGTGATGTCATAACGTACAGTCCTCTGTAGTCACAGCCAAGGCCGAGCCGCGAGTTCGGGCTCCAATGAGCACGGAGCTCTGCGTCAGTGGGTTAAGCAAGTTATCTACCCGGTCCGGGCCGGAGGACACCGGTGAGGACGAGCACCAATCAGCTTCTCGTTCGGCGCCTGCCTTTGTTCTCACTGGGGAGCCGGTTTCGCACAGAGCAGGTTTCGCGGCGTCCGACGTCTGGGGACCCGCATTCGACCCTCACGTGCGTTGCTGCCCCCCTCGGAAGAACATGCACCCCCGTCCCTCCGGCCTTGTCTCCTCCTCCTGTCAGCCAGAGCTTTCCCAATTACATATGCCTTCTCTCCAGAGCGTGAAAGCAAAAATCCTGACTCACCATTTTTTAGCTTTGGAAGAGGCCAGTTCAGCCCAATAGTTTTAAAAGGCAATTTGTTCTCTGAACGTTCTCTTTCAAGCAGGGCTGTGCATTCTACATGTATCTGACCAGCTGCCTCAGAAAGGGCTTTTGGATAAGAAAACAAACCTATCTCTTTGGCTCTTCAGTGCTAGTCAAATAAAGGAACTTGCATTACTGAGAGAACTGCGAGAAGGGCTTCAGAGAGGAATCCCCGACACCAGAGGTTTTGAGTCCTCCTGCCCCGATTAATGGTGTAAGTATGCCTCAAACATTCCCTACTCTCCGCCCAAACCTCAGGTAACTGGTCTTTTGCAATACGAAGCTCACGATAAATGATGCGTAAAGTTCTTAGAGCTCCCAGGATGCAAAGCCCTACGTGACTGCAGTCTTCTTTACAGCTAAGCTAACATTTGGGCTGAGAGAAAGCTTAACCGCTGACGTGATGGTATGAACATTTCAGTCTCCCACCCCCACCCTCAGCTCCCGCCACCTTCCCAACCTTTCTCAAGAAATCAGGAAATATTTAGTTCAGTTTTAGATCCACCAGCGAGCTCTAGCTCCCAGCATTTTATCTTATTCTCTCACCATTTCTGCAGGGACCTAGAGAGGGGGAGTGGCTTGGCTTAGGGAGGGGCTGAGCTTCCCTGTTAATTTGCATACAACACACCCTCTTCCTCCTATTGGCGGAGCAGCACAAACTGTATTCCCTCCCATCCCACTACCTAACTAACCCGCCATCTCCTTTAGTTCGGAGCCTCCGAGATAAACTTAACTTGCCCGGAGATTCAAGGCGTCCTCGGCCTCTGTGATTGGCCGGCGCAGCTCCCACTAAGCTGTAGTTGCTCATTGGTAGCGTGCTACCGCCCCAGGGGCGTGGCCGGAGCTGTCCGATTGGCGGGAGGGGGCGGTACCGAGTGTGGAGGTGGTGAAGGTGGTAGGGAGGCGGGGGCGGGGTCGCACTGAGGCGCTGCGGCGGCGGCGGCGGCGGCGGCGGCGGAGGCAGCGGTGGCGGCTGCTCGTCCTAGCCAGGCGGGGGCGGGGGTCTGGAGGATGGAGGCGGGTGGAACAACGGGACGGTGAGGAGCAGCCGCCGCCGTCTCCGCCGTCGCTTCGGCAGCCGCCGTGGTAGTAGCCTGGGACAGCGCCGCTTGCTCTCAGGTCATCCCCTCCTATCCCGATATCCCGCCAGAGGAGGCTGAGTCTGAAGCGCGACCGGTGGCGCGGAGACGGTCCGGCTCCTCAGCGGCGCGGGCGGCCGCAGTGACAGCCCGGTCCCGGCCCGCCGTCCGCCCTCGGTGCCCGCAGCCACGATGAACCGGGGCGGCAGCAGCCCGTCGGCCGCCGCCAACTACCTGCTCTGTACCAACTGCCGGAAAGTGTTGCGGAAGGTACGAGCTCGGCCTCAGGTCCGGCTAGAGAGGGGCGCTTCCTGCCCACCAGGGCTCGGGCTGCACGACCCCCGGGCGCACTCTTGGGGCGAGGCTCCAAGGGATCCCGGGGCACCTTCCCTAAACCGAGACCGAAGAAGGGGGCGTGTGGTAAGGGTGGAGGATTAAGACTGCTGCTGCTTTTATCTCCGCGGGGACAGACGCTAGTCCTGAGGGGTTAAGGATTTATTTTTTGTAAGAGGGGAACGCGGGACCTGTTCGATCCGTCTTCTGGTGCTCTTGGTGGAGGTCGGTCCGAAATCAGAACTGCCTGGTCTGGTCTTGAGGAACCTGGCCCCCTCTTAGCTGTGGCTATCTCTTGCGGGTGTTTTTGTTTACTCGGTTGCTTCTGCCTTCCTTGCGCGCTTTCCCCTAACACTCCCTTTTTACGTTCTTCTGATGGTCGTCTTCGGTCTATAGCTCAATCATGAAAGGAACTGGTAAAGCAGCTTGAACTTTATGCCCATGGGAAAAGCTATTCGACCTCACAGTTCCTCAGGCTGGGATTGGGGGAGGAGGAGACTGAGGTAGACGGGAGTTATCCCTTTTTAGCAACTCCCCCCCCCCCCCGTAAATCCAGAAAAATCAGACGCACCATCAGCTTATTGCTTCCCAGAGTGACTGATAGAAAGTTTACTCCGGTATTGTTTAGCTTACTTGGCTTAATCGTTTGGTTAACGGGGGGTGGGGGTGGGGAGATGTCGCTTTAAACCGAGAAAAGCTTTTAATCAGACTTTAACACTGGCCACTGGATAATATTATAATCAACTTATTCTTTTCCAGAGTCTATTTTTACATTTCATTAAGTGGAAACAGTAGTTGAGGTGCTTCTGTTTGTCAAGTACAAATGAATTAAAATTGCTGAGCTGTGCAAATGCGTGGGGGACTGAAAGACTAAGATGAATAGGACAACGTTTTTAGTCAATTTCTCTAAATACAGTTCAGCTGTGATTGTTCTTTATTTATTAAGAAAGAAAGAAAGCATCTAAGTAAGCAAGCTCAAATATTTGCGCTCTTTGTCCAAAAACTGTTTTTCTTCCTCTGTGGGTCAGGCCAAGTGCCAATCAAAGTTGTTTTTCAAGGCTCTTTTCCCTGCAGTAGGGCTGCTGCTTTTTTTTTTTTTTTCTATTTTATTCGAGAGCATGAAGAAAGCAAAGGGATTGCAGATTTGATGTTAATCGAACAGTTAAATATGCCTTAAATTGTGTTTATTGGGTATGTTTTTCCTGAAACATACTTGTATTAAATGTTCATGTTGAGTATGTGCAGTTATTTTTTTCCATAAACTCTGGAATCAAATTACAGTTGATACTTGTTCAGCTCATTGTAGGGCGGCTTGTGAGAAATGTAATGGATCAGAAGTGCAGATCAGCTTAGTTGAATGTTAACTCTTTGATTTCAGGGCCGGGGCATCTGAACTAAGGTTTTTAAAAAATGAGTATTTCCTAATTTTAAAAGTGATAGGTTCTGTCTTTAACATGAAGAAAGAAAAGGTGTTGTTTGTTTCACGTTTGGTTAAACTCAAGCCTGGTTAAAATAACAGCTAGTTATTTGTTTTTACTGAATCAGGAAAAAAGAGCTATATTGATTTTGTTTTTTTAAATGACTCTGGTATATTGGTAAGCTAATAAAATGTTTGGAGGTGATATTAGGCTTCAGAACTGTTTTTGTTTTATATTTCTTTTGAGAGAACCATGGCTATGGGTCCATCATACTCTACTAGCATTATTTATATCTTTGTCTTTGCTTTTAAGAATATATTTACCCAGAAGAACATCCTAATTTCTAAGCATTATTAAAGAAAGAGGTATATGGAAAAGTGGGTATTTACCATTTTTATATTTTGTAATTGCTATGCATACCTCTGCCAATATTCCAGTTTTTAGTAACTCCAAGGGGTATTTAATATTGATTCATGCAGTAGCATGAAATAGCTGTAGATGGAAATGGGATTGTTTGAGCCAGTTATGACATGACTTGGCAACATTTGTTGCTTGTTAAAGAGTACTAGTCTTAAATGCTCTGAAAAGATATCAAGTGTTTAGCATTTTAAATTCTTCATCCTAAAAATAGCATGTAAGAGCTTATTTCTAATAAAGAGATGGTTTTCTTATTGATACAAAGTATATAACTCTAAGTAAAATTCATCTACAGCTTTCAAAATGTGATTCTCCAAATTTATCCTGTTTTCCAGTTAAGTGTTCAGTAATAACCAAATGAGTCATAGCATTTTAAATTTTTGTTCAATGTACTTAATAATGGAAGAATGAAATTCATGCACACCCAGTGTGATTTACTCCTTGCTTTTATAATCCTCATTAATGATGGAGGAAGATCCACCTTTATATATGGCATGATGCATTTTTCTCTAAGTGGCTTAATTTGTTACATTGTGTTGCTTTTGGGGAGGGTGTGAGGAGAGGAGGGATCTTCAAAAGGAACTGGATTCACTTTCATATGAAGTAATTTAATTTAACCCAATATCTAAAGATTGCATTTTATATTGTATGAGAATCACATTTATTCTTAGAAATGCCTTTATAATTTTGATTTCAGTGTCCTACAAAATAATAGACTTCTTAAAATATGGAAGATATCTAATTTTTTAGCCTTAGGTCACTAAAAAGAATGGAGAGGTAAACCACAGAGGAAAACAAAACTGTTCACAAATCTATAACTCCTACCAAGTCTAATTTGTTCTGTTATCAGTGAAATAATTCAATAAAGTTTCTAATAAAAGAAGAAATGCCTGTATTTATTTTGGAAAAGTTAATGCGTTTTGAAGTGTAACACCTTTTACTTGAAGAACTTCCAGGGACAACTAGATAAATTTTAAAAGGGAGTGCCAAACCGCATTAAGAAAGGTAGGTAACTGCCAGTCCACTCATTTTGCAATAAATAAAGGGTGGCTTATTACAATGGCCTCTCAGTAAGCAGTTCGGGGTATTAGAGTGTATAAAATCCTGCACTATAAGTTAGAGAATTTAACATTTAAAAGTTCTTAATATAGTTAGTAGTTCCAGTGGCACATGTTGGTTGGTTGGTGCACTTTACCACTTTGCTTATATTGTCACTTATTTTGATAACTTTTGATTGTTTTGTAAGTGAAGAGACTGAAAACAAATGGGAAATATTGGATTAAACCATATGAACCTCATTTTTCTAGTCAAAATTTTTAGTTAATAGCAGTTTTATATGGTTCAGCCAACAGAATGGAATTGCTTTGACTGTGGACTAGTGGCTTTATTCTGCCTTGGTTAATCAGGTTTCTTACATACATAATTTTGATTGTCATAAACAATTTTTTACTTTGTTTTATCTTAAATGAACTAAGGAAAGATTAAGAAATAAATTTATGGTAGCAATTTATTATACAAAAGTATTCAAACAGCTTTTTATGGACCCCTAAAATGCTTGTGTTCAAAAATGCTTGAGTTGGATTAAATTTTTAAGTTGGATCAAATTTTAATGTAGTTTAAAAAGTTATCTTTTGTTACAAGATTTTTATACAGGACTTGGCGTAAACCTTGTTCTGCTACCTTTGTACATTTGAAAATTTTTGTTAATATGACGTTGTTGAGAAAGATTGCCATTGATCATGAAGGCACTGGCCTTTAATTAAAATTCATTTCTTTACATATTTACTTATGTTAAATATTTACATTTGAGAATACAAACTTATCAATTGTTGTTTCTTTGTCACAAAAACAGATAAAAATAATTGTTTATGTGTTTCATATTTCAGGTTCAATATAAGATTTCATTTGTAAAAGAGATTCTACTACTCTTCCCACTGTCCCCCACTTCCACCCCAAATAAATTGCTAAAACATAACTGCTAATGTAATGATTCTGGAATCCACAAAATGTGCTCACAGTTAGGTCTTTGGTAGGTCCTTTAATTGTGGGCAAGTTAGTTAACCTCCCTGAAGCCTAGTTGTCTCTGTAAAATGTAGATAATTTCTACTTACCTTATAAGGTAACTGCCTACCTTTAGAGAAATAATGCATGTTAAAATACTTTGTAATCCATAAAGTACAACTATAAATATAAGAAAGAAAAAAATAAGAAAGCCTATTTACTTTTTCTTTTCCCTCATACCTTAGTTTTTTGTGTGTTGTGGCAATATATTTCAATACATAACTGAATAACTTGGTTATTCTTTACATTTCTGTCCTGTTTAATTATTGCCTATAAATGAGAGGCAAAGATATTATGATTTTAGTTAGAGTGATCATTTTAAATTTACACATCTGTATTTGTATCAAACTCCCCGCCCCCCCCCCCCCCCGCCCCTTAAATAGTAATCCAGTGGGTAGCTTCTGGTTTTTCAAATAATAAAATTGCCTTTTGGACACTTCAGCAGATGAGGGAAATTGGTACTAGGTTTGAAAAGACTAAAGGATGATTGTGTTTATTAGACGTTGGGGCAAATCTAGCATAAAACAAAAAATAAAAATTAATTTGGAAGAAGAGTTATGGAAGTAAAAATCTCTCAGTCTTCCTCCCACCCCCTCCCCCATCTCTTCATCTTTTTCTTTTTTCCCTTTTGAGGGATTGGGTTATATTTGTCTAGACATCACAGCGTTTAGAGTGTGTTCACATTACCTCAGTGGATTATCAAACAGAAAATTTAAGTGGCATGGCCTTTTTCGTATAACTAGTAAGATGTCCATTTAATTCTCATTACTGCTTCTATAATAAATAAAACAATATTTCAGTTGTCTCCTACAGTATTCAGGTTGCCAGCAAATATCCTCATTCCCAGCTTCATCAGCCTATAGATACCTAAAACTCTCCAGATAATATTGGTTGGAAGTGTGAATTTTAGCTACTCTTTGACACATTATTGCAGAGCAACTGGAAAGAAAGGAAAAGAGTTAGCAGGCTATTTTTATTATTTTTGTAACAGTTGTTTGGTTAATTCCTTTAGATAAAACAGCACTTGTCTATTACAATTCT